AAATACTGTATATTCTCATTATAAAACTCATTTCCAAAAAAATAATATAAAAATTCCTGTATGTGGGAAAACATGTAAGAGAATTCTCTAAATAAGTCCAAGTACTTAAGTAAAACACTGGATTTGTGGTTTGCAATTCAGGTACTAAAAATTGCGGCTGAGACTAAGGAATTCTGTGTATACGTACCGGTTAAAACACGGGGAAGCAGGATCAGTGAAATGTTTGTAAGGGTTTGCTCTAGAGAGAGAACCCATGCAAATCCAGCAGAAGTACTGCATACAGCCAGTACATGTCATCTTGTTACAGCCGTCTAATTTCTGGTGGGAAGCATAGAAAGAGAAAAATATCAAGGCTGTAAAAGCAAAGGAGAAATGTACATTCCAAAAAGATTCAGTACAACATTCTCCTAGTCTCCTCCTTTTTCTCATGCAGGGTTGAGATATACATGTAACACACTGATAACTATTTACTACTTACTATTTTGTACTACAAGTAAAATACAGAAATTATCTGGCAGGTGTTCTTGCAACTAGCTACTTGGCACAATCTCTTATGATAAACACAACACATACAAATCAAACATATAACTGGAACATGTAGTTAGATTAATATTAAGATGTTTGAATTTAGTATTCTTGAGTTTTAACTTTTTACATAAATCTAAGTAAACATTTGGTATCAAGTCCTCCACTCTATTATAGGGCTAAGCCATGTCAAAAGTGGCTAAATATAATGCCAGTTTCCTTAATGGAGTAACTGGGGACTCAATAGTAGGTTCAATTCAGATGTAATGGATTGGAACAGGAGAATCAAATGCAAAGATATATTTTGATTTTAAAAGCTATTAAGATTTTGTCAGAAAAAAAAGATTTTGTCAAGAAGCAATAGATTTATTTAACTATTTTAGCTCAGATTAATAGAAAAATGTTTCCATTTCCTGAGTGTATAGTAAACAGGTGTGCTGCATTCCAGTATAAATAGTTCTGAGAGATCAGATTTTTTTTTCTTTAATCACACAGATGAGTTAAGAGTTGACAGTAGGTTTAGTATGCCTTCCTCATAAACCACTCAATTTTGAGATAGATACAACATGAGAACAACTGTCATTGTACTAAAGTACTTTGAAAGGCAAAGTCTACACACATTTAGGGTCAATAATATTTAGTAGTAAATTTGAATCTTCTCAGTAAGATGGCTGAATAAATACCAACATATGTTTTCTTAATAAATCATAAAATTGACTAACAGACTCCTTGAGGCAATCGTAACATGCCTGCGAGTCTTTTGCCTCCAAGCCTGTACCAGAACATTTACCTCTATGGGAGTCCCACAACACGGGCAGCTCTTCGAGTTCTTTTCTAGCCACTCCTTACTTTCCATCTCTTCCAGTGCCTTCTGAATTACCCTCTTACCATACCTCTGTTCCAAAAATCTTTTATTGGCTTCATCTGCTTGCAGGTACTCATTTCGTAAGTCTATTAATTTCTCTAGGAAGTGAAATGGAAAATTAACTTTTATACAACTTTGCAATGCCGACTAAAAATCATTACAAATGGCCATAATCTTTGACTACTCAATAACGCTATTCCTGGGACTTTATCCTAATGAAATAATCCAAAGTAAAGTCATATGCGTGGAGATGCATATAACAATGGCAATGGCAAACAAATTAACTTTCAAAAAAAAATTACGCGTGGAAGAGCCAACTAATGACATAATATTCAGTTATTAAAACCTATAATTAGGATGGCTACAATCCAATTAAAACACTCATTACAGAATCCAGAAGAAAGTATACTTATGTTATAACTAGGTAAAAATTACACATGCACAAATGACAAAGAACAGGAAGGAATCCCTCAACTAGAAAAGCTGGACTTGCTAAAGGTAGTAGAATAATAGGTTATTTTTTCCTTTGATTTTGATTTCTTAATGTTGATATGTTTGTGCAACTAATAGTGTACGTTAAAGACTGACTTATCTAAAAGACATTAAGGTTGAAACAGACACTGATTTTCCACTAAGTCAGCATCATTCACCATTTGATAATGAACAAGGCCTATAAAATACACAAAGGCACCATTGGCTTAAGGGCAAAGACTAACTG